GTTTCAAGTGATTTCAGTGAGAATTGTGGGTTTTCCCTTCTTTAACTGAGGGGTACCAACAATTTTGTCCACGTGTGTATATCTGAGGGATACCTGAGGAACGCCCCCTGGGAGGTGTCGTTTGCTTTGTAGGGACTGGCGCTGAACGAGGATGTGGGTTCAAACCAGTTTGTCTGTTGCAGGACATTTGGCACCGACCCCCCATTGTGCCCCACACCTGAGACACTCTGCAAGGTCCGGAATTTGGGTGGGGACTGGAAGGTCTAGACATGATCATGTTAAATAACAAAAGGACCTAGTCTTCTTGATGGGCTGGTGGGAGGTGGGGCACCAAAGGGTTTGGAGTCTCTATTTACATCTGTATATCACAAAGGGATTTTTACATACGTCTGCAACTTGTCAACTTTCTCACTGAAGAGGCCTGAGAATTGAGTAAAAATTTGGAAAAAAGCAAAAACAAAGACACTCCCACTAGGAGGAGTTTAGGGGCGTGCCTTCAGGGGGTTAACTATAGCCAAAGTAGCCTAGCAACTAGCAATTAGCAATTAGCTGTAGGCCTAAATAGCATAGTGGCTATTAAAACTAAGGAAAGTAGTGGTATTAATTAGCATTACTTAATTAGCATAGATTAGCATAGCATAACTAACTTAATTAATGCTAAGCTAAATAGCATTGATGCTAACCTAAATAACATTATTGCTAAGCTAAATAACATTGATGCTAAGCTAAATAGCATTAATGCTAAGCTAAATAGCAGTAGGCTAAGTATTAGCATTAGCAAAGCCTAATGAAGTTTTAATATAAATCAGCATAGCATAAGTTAGCTGAACTCATGCTAATTAGCATTAGCCTGTATAATATTAGCATTACCTAAATAACATTATTGCTAAGCTAAATAACATTGATGCTAAGATAAATAACATTGATGCTAAGTTAAATAGCATTAATGCTAAGCTAAATAGCAGTAGGCTAAGTATTAGCATTAGCAAAGCCTAATGAAGTTTTAATATAAATCAGCATAGCATAAGTTAGCTGAACTCATGCTAATTAGCATTAGCCTGTATAATATTAGCATTAGCATTTAGAGTCCAGAGATTTGAGAATTTGAATCCAGGTTCGACCAAATTTTTGAACGCAATACAGGTCTTCAACCAACTGATACCCACTACAGTCCATTATATAAAGACAGATTTTTGGACTATTTGCCTAAAATTGTGCGAGACATGGTTGAGATTTTCTGCGTTGCGCTGAAAATATGTAACTTGCAAGATTTCCATGCACATGTAGAACATGCATGGGACAGACATCAGGCAAATAAACAAAAAGATAAGAATAAGCCTGTACAAGTTTTTGTCTCATTGCCAAGTAAAAAATGGTCTGATCAGGGAGCTAGGCCTCAGCAAAAAAAAACAATGGCAACAGAATGATGAATCTGACTATGAGGAGGGTAATTCAAGACAAGTGCTATAAATGCGGTAGAAGAGGGCATTTTGCGAGAGAGCTCCACGCAGACAGAAGAAACGACCGCAACAACAAAGCACGTAGAGCACGTAGGGGAAGATAAGATGGTAACAGGACTGATGGGAGTCGCCCATACAAACCATAAGATGATAAACAGCAGAAAAAACTGTCACCAGAAGGAATCAACACTAAATTGCCAGCCCCAACAACTATGAAACAACTAATGCCCTTCCTTGGAACATTTAATTATTGCAGACAACGGATTCCAAATTACTACAAATTATCTGGACCGTTATATTCTTTACTTTCAGGTCCAATGAGTTCTGCACCAGCTACTAAAATCACATTACAATCTGATCATTTAAGGTGCATAGCTCAATTGAAAACAGCACTACAATCCGTAGTGTCTCTAAAATTACCTGACTGTTACAAACACTTTAACCTTTATTGTGATTCAAAAAATGGACACATGACTGCTGTGTTGACTCAAAAACACGGGCCATCACAACGACCATTGTGCTATTACTCCAATCGGCTAGATAATGTGGCTGCAGGCCTGCCACCGTGTGTACAAGCTGTTGTTGCAGCTGTAGAAGCAGTGATAGCTTGTGCTGACCTTGTACTTTATCACTTCCTCACAGTCTCAGTACTGCTG